TAGATAAAACATCCAGTTAGCTCAACTGGAGCAAGGGCATGTGTCTGGTGTGGTCTGTGCCTCATCATCCTGGATTTCTTTCCACCATGCAGCTGGAGACCAGCTAGATCCCTCATGTTGTCTCTGCCTGTTATTCCCTTTCTTATTGACTCTTTACAGTACTCTTAGATCAGCCTAAATTAGTCTTAGATCAGGCCTTGGACTGGGAAATAGACAAGGCTGATAACTGGCAAGAAGAGATTGATAGGAAACTCTAGCAAGCACCTGCTTTTACAAACCTTTTGAATAGGAGGGTTGATGACCTTATGCCCATTCTCCTACAAGTAAGCCCCAGTGAACACACATCAAGTATCTGTGTACAGGATTGTTCTGTAAATGTGTAATATATAAGGCAGCAAGAAAATGGCAGTTCAGGAGCTGGAGTTACTGGTGTAGGTTTCACATATAGCAAATTACCTACAGATGATGCCAGCCCTCCTTTGTCCTATGCCTGTAACTTCACCAAAGGTGGTGGGGGGCAGGAGGAACAAGTGGAACTGTTCAAAGCAGCTTCTGAAAAGGCCATTGTTCTCCTTACAAAGTCAAACATTTGTATTGATAGAGGCAGAAGCAGAAATATGCACATTAACTCAGTGAGCTAGCACAAGGCTGACTAACATCAGTTTCCTACACAGATGGAAGGAAAATCAAGCACATAGTAAGTTTCCAGAAGAAAAAGAATACTGTGCTAAACTATTAACATTACTGAGCTATGTTTACAAGGCACTGCAGGCTGCTTTTCTGCTTTGATTTTAGGCTGGAGCTTTACGCAATTTTTGTTAATCTGATAGTTTTCTTGCTGTACAAAATAAGCATCTGCAGCCTTCAGAGGATGAAAGGTATCAGATGCTCTGCTGACATTCTTTCCTTACCAGAGCACTGACTCTTCTTCCATAGCAGCCACAGAAAACCAGTCTCCTGTGTGATGCTGAGAAGAGGACACTCATTCACCAGCTCCTCAATAAATTGGATTAGCCATATAATACCAGCTATATCAAAAGGCCTTTTCCTGGACAAGCAGACATGATCTAGAAAGATTTAATGGTTGATTATATTGAAAATGGCTATAAGTTACTGGGGAACCCAATATAAGTCATCCACCAAGGTGACCAATACAGTTTCTGTTCTCAAACCAGGCAAAACAAAATCAACAACAACAACAAACCAAATTTGACAATTCTAAATAATCAGTGTTGACCAAGATTTCCTGAAGTGGAGTTGAAAGGCACCACTCTGCTCTCCAGCATGGGAATTCTAATACTAGTTAAAATTATCCATATACAGGGGTCTAAGTTTAATTTATTTGATAAGGGCCACATTACTGGTTCCTTTGTTGCAACCCTGTCTGAACAGCAATATTATCAAAATACTGGCCACAATGAGCCTCCAAGTGTTCCAACAGTTGCTCCACTGGATCTTCATGAATACATCACTTCTCAAAATAACAAAATTAGCTAACATTATGCAGATGTAATGCTGGTGGAAAAGTAATTAAATTCACCATATCATCACAACCACAAATTAAGGTCTAAAAGGGATTCTAGTCTATATTGATAATGTTCCCTCAAGTCTTCTGCCATTGCCTTCATCTCTTTGGAGTTTGAATATTACCTAATATTGAGCTATGATGCAACATGTATGTTTGGACCAATAGCATCAATCGCCCAAGCCATTCCCATAATACCAAGTTCAGTTAAGATCACAGCAGGACCACAGGCCAAAACCGCAGGAAATTTCCCCAAAGACACCAGGGATCATCTGTGCTTCTGGGAGTGCATCATGAAGAACAGTCCTCCACCCCTATGTAGACAAGATGTTTATAGAGAAAAACTGATCTCTCTGTGGCAATGAAATTGTTAACAGTAGGGAAAACCAATTCAGGGTGTAATCAATAGGGCTGATAGATATTCTCTGACCAGCTATAAGAAAAGATGTGTCAGAAGAACTCTTTGATGTCTTTGATGGGCCTTCCCTTCACCCTCACAAGCAGCACAGTTCCATCCTAGTCATGGATCCAAGTGTGAATTTGAGGGGTGGGTGCTAGGAGGTCATGAGGGGAGGATCTAGGAATCACCCTTTTAACAGAAAATCAAACTGGTGCCTCAACCTCTCTAGCAAGCAGGGCCCAAATTGGCCATCTAAATATTTTTGAGAGTATGGGGAACACAGAGGGAATTGTAGCCTCCATACTCTTCCGGTGTTTGAATGGAGGTCCATAACCTGAATTCAGAAGGTTATATCTGTTCAGCATGGGAAAGCACCCTTACTCTTCTCAAAGTCTTTTCAGCCTTTCATGGCAAAACAGAATGGAGGAAAATGTTCTTAGCTGCTGCAATTCTGTCCAGCAGCATTCTCCTTTCATCTGATCCCTATCCATATCTGTTTCTGCCAAAACCTACTTAATCTTGGAGATGAGGTAGTGCTAGTTAAAGTCAGTTAGCAAAGGCCTTGGATAGATTGCTATTTGACATTTATTATACAAGTCAGGTTGCAGCTTGACAGCCTTCCTGCTTTAAAGCAACCAAGAACTTTCTCATAATAGCCTTGCCACCAATTCCCCAGCAAGGAAAGCTTTCCAGCCCTGGGGCTTTGTCATTCTCCATACATTCAACTGGTCACATAGTATCTTTCATTGGGGCATCGATATCACAGCAGTCCTAATGTGGTGATAGGGCAGACGGGAGAACCATCTCCTATTCTGCCCTGCTGCCTCATTGAAGTCACAGTGGAGAGTGGGGAGGAATCTTATTTTATGGCTGGTTTTCTCCATCACCATCATTTCAACTGGCTTCTCCCTAATGAAACAATGGAAGAAGGGACTTCGCTAGATCAGCCTCAGGGAATTGTTTGTGGACTATTTCGGGGGTCTGAAGAGCTTATGAATCTTCTGCTGCCCTTGGGATATCCCCAGCCTACCTTCATTCAGGCTGCCTGCAGTGATGGCAACTGGCTATTTTACTGCCACCAGGCACACCTTCTGGCAGCAGAACTTCTCTGCCTGCAGAGAGCTCTGTGATATTCTATACTCCCCGACACACTGGCCCAGGGCCATCAGACTGAAGCCTTTTCAGGATTTTCCATCCCAGCCATTCAATTGGAGGAAATGGAACATCTTGTTTTCTTTTTGTTTCAGATAAAAACTTACCTGCTTAATACATGTTCAAGTTCTGGGGCTGATTTCTTTTTGTGAACAAATTATTCTGTTGTTTTGAACAAAGTCACAGTTTACGGCTTCTGTTTCTAATTTATGCTCTGAGAAATGTCATTTTTTAGCTCCCTCATTTATCATACTTTTTTTTAAATTAGCTTGAATGTAAACTCTTGATCTGCAGAAGTGATTTAGGTTTGTTCATCTTGAGAACTGCTGTTTTTCATGCTATTATTCCACAAAATATGACAATATTCAACAAAGAAACTTCAGGGTGCCATGATAACTGGATTTTGTTGCTCTGGATGAATATCAATGTCAGTTCCAGTGAAGTATTATCAAAATACAGTTATGAACAAATCGAGGCCAAGCAATCTCTTTGTGTGAGATGATTCTCAGCAGAAAAGTGGCCTGCGTCTCCAGGCAATATTCAGGAAATATTCTGAATCAGGGTCAAGCAGTTGCTTTCCAACAAACATAAAGTGATGAGGCTGAACATGTAAATTCACATGCAGTTTAGCTTCAGAGATAAACTGTGCATATTAAATAGCTATATTTTTTCTTTTGCTGTCTCTTTTTAAACGGCCAGACTCCCAGTGGAGATGAGAGAGAGAGAGAACATCTCATCTGCTTTCTGAACACAATTTATGTTTCTCCCAGACAGTGGCAATTTGTAAGCCTGCTCTCATTAACATTTAAACACATAAAGAAAAAGCATACAGAAACATCTTGCCTGGAAACCAGGTCCTAATAAATCCCTCCACTTTGACACTAGGCCTATCAAATGATTGCAGTAAGGCAAACCAAGAGGCAAGATCATTTTTTCTGCCTGTGTTAGTAGTGCCTAGGTAAAACACTGCATGCACATGGGCCTGTGCAAAGGGATTCCACTAGGCAAAAGCGGCATAGAAGTTGAACTTTGTGGTGAGCGACTGTGTTGCTGTGAGGGAGATATAGTGCACTGGCTGGAATTCAAGGTTTGAAGTGGAAATGGTTAACATTTTCATATTTTCATGCACATCTTGGCATTTTTTCCCTTTAAAACCCCATGTTTGCCTGCAGTAGCATATAACTAAAATGATGCAGTGGTAGGTGAAATATTTTCCAGATGGACGGCAATCATTACAATTGTTTCTCTGAGGAGCTCTTAGTAAATATTCAAGGAACCCTTAGGGTTTCCTAGAAAGTAGCTGAAATACACTGCAAAAAATATATAAGGCTAGGTCTGGAAAAGAGGGGGCTGGAAGTGCTGTATGTAGCTTACAGAATTTCACTAATTGCATATTCCTGCAAACCACTTAAAATAGACAGGCACCACAGAAACAAAAGGTCAGCTGAAAGGGAAATCCCACAGACAGGAGCTGTCAGGTATATCAAGGGAGAGAACAGGCAGAAGAACCTGGCCTAAAGAGCTAAGCCACAGAAGAGGAAATGGTACGTCTTTAAAGGTACTCTCTAGTCTTTTATATAAACAGATTTCTCCCTTATGGAAGACATGTTAAAAATCAAAAGGAAAGAATCATACATTTTAGTTCAAGACTGGGCAACTTGTAGACAGAAACATCTGGAGAGCCACAATTCCCATCAGTCCTAGCCAGTGTAGGCAATGATGAGGAACCATGGAACTTGTAGGCCAAAACTTCTGGTGGGCCACAAAATGCTTACTCCTGTTTGGGGGTGATCTGTGCTTGTTTTATGCATAATGTTTGAAATATAACTCTCTAAATAATAGTAACAGAAAACACAGTGAAGTGTCAAGTCTGACATAATCACTGCAAGGCACAATTCTTTTCCAAATTAAACTTTGGGTTCATCAGTACAAATCTTCATTGTTGCTGCTGATGAGGATGGGATACGCTGTCCCTATGTGCTCTCCATGGCAGTAGACAACAATCTCCAGGTCATACTCCTCAATTCTCACCTTCTGGCGTGTCATTTTTTCATTTGATTGCAGGAAAACAACGGTGTAAAGGGCAAATTCAAACTCAGGGCTGACACCAATGAAAGTGCTTCTCACTGGCTTTATGAGGCCCTTCCAGCTGAACTGAAGGCTTAAAACCTGGTCATCCTCATCAGGCTGAAAACAAGCATGCAAAACAGTAAAAGCTGCGTGCTGGGGTTACATTTTCCCTGATTCAGACTGAAGACACGGCTGAGCATGGCAGTGAGGCAGAGGGTGTCCCTGTCCCCTCTGGAGCTTGAGCAAGGCAGTGTGGCCAGCGCCCAAATGTGGAAGCAACAGGAAGGAGACATGCCAGGGGGATCTGAAATGGCCTCAGCTTCCCCACCCCCCACCAAGAGATGGAGGGCGTGAAGACTTCAAAGAGATCCCTGAGGGAAAATGTTAGGAATAGAGTAAGAATTTGCCTTGGCAATTTCTCCAGCAATCTAAGGATTACAAATGTAAATTGCCTGGGAGCTTTAAAGCCATAGAGGGAACACAGACATTTCTATGTGGAGAAGAATATATTCAGACATTTGTTTGATGCAATTTGTTTCAATGTTGTTTAATAAAATAAATCTTGTTTAATCTAGACAAACAGAGGCTGTACATAGGATAGTAGAGTTGGAAGGGGCCATAGGTATGTTCAGTTAAATATTTTCAATGTATATAATCTCTACACACTCGAGGTTCATCCTTATGCACTCTTAATTGGAAGCTTCCTCTATTCAACTCAGAGCCAAATTAGGCATGACTTCTACTGTATTGCTTTGGCTATGTGCTGCCTCTGTTGCCAGTGGGCAAAAGATTTTTTTCAAAATTCAATTTTTACTTCAAGGCTTTCATAAAATGGAAATTTGGCGCAAGTTGGCACAAGTTTAAAGATACCCTTAACTTTTTCATGTTATCTTGCATGTATATCTGTGTTATGTTACTTAGTTTGCATGTTATATAGTTTGCATGTATATCTGTGTTATATGTGTGCACGTGTGTTTTCAAACATCCATCAAGTAATTACACTTGATACAGAGGGAGATTGCCCAAGTGAAGACCAGCAGGAGTCAGAGGCAAGATGTTTGGTACCCTTCTGCTTTGGACGATAGTCTCAGTTCTGCAATGTCTGAACATTTTTTCCGACATCAAATCCAGTGAGTGTTGCTTGTTTGCAAATTCAAGGAAAGATTGATGAAAACCAACAGTTGCAGAATACGAGACTACTGTGTGTGTGTGTGTGTGTGTGTGTGTGTGCGTGAGTGCGCGCGCGCACGCTTGCGCACGCAAGACAAACACACACATTATAAAGTACACATTTATCTGTATTATATATACATGCATCCCAAATAATGATTCTTCCCATTCTCTTACCCAACATTTGTTTTTTCTGGCCATATAGCCTTTGTAGTCAATATGCTTCAGTTTTTCTTCAAGGTAAAACTGCACCCAATTATGTAGACCTAAGATAACATGCCCTCGCTTAGTTTCCCCTACAAACACATGTTCGAATCCACAGGAGTCAGGTCTATACAGGAGAAAGGGGTTTTTAAAAATATAGTTAAAATAAGAGATAGCCACTAATTATTTAATCCAATGTAAAAAAAAAATCAGGACCTTCATTAAATTCATTATCAACATCTGTTCATAAAAATAAAGAGAGAATGATAAAAGCCCCAACACATTTGATAAGGTTAGGAAGGAGGGCTGTACATAAATCAGAAAATTCCTAATTCATTTTGTACTTCTCCCTAGTGAACTCACAACGATTTGTCTAAACCTGCCTCATAGTTCAACCAGATCTGTATTATGGGGATTAAAGTATTGACTAAGGTGCAAGCTCTAACTTTAGGACATACCTGTCTCTTGCTGCCACTCTCACTGTTCGTTGCATTGGGCATTTTGGTCACTACTTATAAGCAAACCCTTTGGCCATCCTCTCTCTCGTGATTCACCCCTCCCATCCCTTACAATTCTGCTGTTCACCTTCCTTCTACCTGATGAAGGCTCTTCTCCTCATAACTGGCTTGAAGATATTCCTCTTCATATTTGTATCTCCCTGATCGTCCAGGTGTATATAATATTGTTCTCTTCTGTGATAGTTCTTGCCTAAAGACTTTTCCTGTGTCTAATATGCTGTTGTATTTCCCAAAGATGTATTCACTCCCTTTGTTTATTCTGCTCAAGCTGCTGAGATCACTGCTCTTGCTGAAGCATCAGGACAATCAGTCAATATCTTGACGTTTGGGGCATGTCATGCTACATGTCAACTGGGAAAGCAGTTTAGATTTATTATATCATCCAGACATGAACATTTGATTATTGCCTTACTTGAAGCTGTTCAGATCATTTTTTGGCCCTTACAAAGTTCATTTTGGAAAAGTCTAATTCTGTTCCACATGGTAATGCTTTTTCTGATTACGATATATTTCCCTTGACTCTACACCCTCTCTTTTTCTTGAAGTCTCTGAAGGAAGTTCCACCATATGCTGCTTCAATAGAAAAATGTTGCGGCTACTGAGCTCTTGAGACCATATTGCACTTCCACTAATAAAATGTGTTTACTTACAGCCTTATGCCATCAGTTTGCTAGCATAGCTCACTCACAGGATCATGGAAGAAAAAAGAAGATGGAGAACTTTAGGAAAAGGCTACAAAACCTTAGGAACAAGTTATAGGACCTTATTTTTGTACATGTTAGTCTACAAGTGGTGAATAGGCACTTTAGCATACACCCAGGAGAGCTCAAACTATTCTGGAGCATAGTGGCTAATGGATTTCTTGGGGTTAACGTCACAAAAAGATCAGTAACGTTTATTATGGTTTCTGTGTTGTATGTTCTTTCTACAATAAAGAAAAAGTAGTTCACTTATAAAGGCACTGTTACATCTTCCTTCTTTTTGAGATTCTAGAACCCCAAATTGGATTGTGGTAACTATTTTACTGCTCAGATGCACAGAAAGGTAAGATGCCTGTACAATTTTTCTAGGCAAGTAGAATGCATAAATGGTATTATAAAAATAGTGAGTCAAGAATAGTGATTCAAGCTAACATAAAAACTTTTTGAATAACTTCATTTATACACTTTTCCTTGTTGCTAAGAGTAGAGTTCAAACCGAATAGTATAGAGCTGAGACTTGAAATCCTTAAGATCCAGTTTAGTTCTTGCCTTTTTAACTAAATACTGATGAGTAAGCAGGAAGAAATGAATAAAATTGAATTTAGTTCACAGCTGGAAATCAATCAGATGAACAACAAACTGAAAAATATGCTGTACCCACTAGCATCACTTCAGTTTCTAAAACTGCATCAAGAAAACGATTATTTTCAGCTGTTTCCTCTGGAGTCACCAGCTCTGCTACACCAGTTGATGCCTCATAGATATCCAACAATGAAATAAAAGCTATAAGAAGAAAGAAAATGTTAAAACTGACTCTGTAAGAGGCAAAGAGAAGTTTCATTTGCATTCCTTACTGTGGATCGAGACACATATTCAAGCCACGTACACAAGACAAAAACGTTTTCCTGTGGGTTGCAGAAAACTACTGGAAATTAATTAAGCCAAGTTGGGAAACGTTTTTTCAGTCCAAAGGCCAGATTCCAAATGAAGAAGCTCTTGAGGACCATCTTTGGTGGGGACAGTGTCAGATAGGGTGACACAAATGTTTTCTTTACTAATTTAAAGCCTATTCAAAGGTAAGCAGAACAAATCTGTATAGCTCTGTAAGAAGTAAACAAGACTAAATTAGCAACATTTCCAAATAATATTTCCAATGAGTGCTCAGGATCAAAAGCCTCTGGATAACAAGCCTCAGAAATAAGCAGAACTGCATCAGCTTTCCCCCAGGTCCCATACTCTTGCTCCAGCAGAAAAAAGATCTTGCTGAGCTTTATCTCGCTGAGCAAAAGAAAAGGCCTTCTTATTAGGAAGCTGGCAATTGACAAGCAATTCAGCTGAGGTGCAATCCTCTGCAAATTTATCCAAAAAAGGCCTCCAATTCTTACTATGCCTCAGCCAAACAGTCAGAATTGGTAGAACTTTTTTCAGTCTAAAGTTGTATAGGATTGCACCCTTAAAAACAGAAAATGAAAAATAAAAATTCGGGACAAGCACGTCACTACACCACAGGAAGTTATTTCATTCTCCCGTCTTGTGGAACTTGAACATGCTATACCTTGCTAGTCTGGCAGCGTGGGCTGGTTACACAGCTCTTGTCTTAAGAGATTCATTGCAAAGCTTAACCTTATTTCACATTTTCTGTTGTTGGCATCTTTTCCATGTTTTGACTCTCTACAGATCAGCTGGTTTATTCTACCTCCTCAGAAATAAAAAAGAGCTTTTGTTTTCACTGGATAAATAACTCTTGTTTAACACATAGTGCAATCTGCAGACTGCAGCCAAACAGTAAGCCAACTTGGAACCACAGACATGTTTTATAACAGGTAAAGCTTATAAGTCTCTCTCTACAAAAGCAGTCATCTACTCCAAAATGTATTCAGCATTTGCTACAACCCTAACCCTCTCCGAGGCACAATCAGTGAGAGTGTTCAAGGATAGGCTAGACATGCACATGGTGGGAATGTCATGAGCAGAGCCAGCTGGAGCCGGGGGTCAGACTAGATGGCCCAGGAAGCCCCTTCTGACTCACTCTGTTTCTATGTTTCTACTATGTTTCTACTGACAAAATGTGATCCACTGGAGAAGCAAATGGCAACCCACTCCAGTATCTTTGCCACAAAAACCCCATGGATGGTACCAAAAGGCAAAAAGATATGACGCTGGAAGATGAGCCCCTCAGGTCAGAAGGTGTCCAATGTGCTACTGGGGAAGAGCAGAGGGCTAGTACTAGTAGCAGCAGAAAGAAGGAAGCGACTGGGTCAAAGCCGAAAGGACACTCAGTTGCCGATGTATCTGGTGGTAAAGGAAAGTCCGATGCTGTAAAGATCTATACTCCATAGGAACCTGGAATGTAAGATCCATGAATCAAGGCAAGCTGGATGTGCCCAAACAAGAGATGACAAGACTGAACATTGACATCTTAGGAATCAGTGAACTAAAATGGACAGGAATGGGTGAATTTAATTCAGATGACCATCAGGTATACTACGGCGGGCAAGAATCCCTCAGAAGAAATGGAATAGCCTTCAGAGTCAATAAAAGAGTAGGAAAAGCAGCACTTTTGGAGATGGGATACCATCTCCAAAATGACAGAATGATCTCAGTTTGAATCCATTGCAAACCATTCAACATCACAGTAGTCCAAGTCTATGCCCCATCCACTGGTGCTGAAGAGGCTGAACTTGACCGGTTCTATTAAGGCCTACAACACCTTCTAGAATTAACACCAAAAAATGTTATCCTTATCATCCTTATCAGGGGGATTGGAATACTAAAGTAGGAAGCCAAAGGACAACCAGAATAACAGGCAAGTTTGGCCTTGGAGTACAAAATGAAGCAATGACTGGGATAATATTGTCAAGAGAATATGCTGGTCATAGCAAACACTCTTTTCCAACAATCTAAGAGACGACTCTACACATGGACATCACCAGACAGTCAACACAGAAATCAGATTGACTATGTGCTCTGCAGCCAAAGATGAAGAAGCTCTATACAGTCAGTAAAAACTAGACCAGGAGCTGACTGTGGCTCAGATCATGAGCTTCTTGCTGCAAAATTTAGGCATAAATTGAAGAAAGTAGGGAAAAGCAGTAGGCCACTCAGGTATGACCTAACTCATATCCCTGATGAATATACAGTAGAGGTGACAAACTGATTTAAGGAATTAGATCTGATAGACAGAGAGCCTGAAGAACTATGGACAGAGGTTCGCAACATTGTACGAGAGGCAGCAACTAAAACCATCCCAAAGAAAAGCAAAATGGTTGTCTGAGGAAGCTTTAAAAATAGCTGAGGAAAGAAGGGAAGTGAAAGGCAAGGGAGAAAGAGAAAGATGAAACTCAAATACTTTGGCCACCTAATGAGAAGGAAGGACTCCCTGGAGAAGAGCCTAATGCTGGGAACAATCGATGGCAAATGAAGAAGGGGACGGCAGAGGGTGAGGTGGCTAGATGGAGTCACTGAAGCAGTTGGTGTGAGCTTGAGTGGACTCCGGGGGATGGTGGAGGACAGGAAGGCCTGGAGGAATGTTGTCCATGGGGTCGCAATGGGTTGGACCCAACTTAGCGACTAACAACAACAACAAAGATATGTGCTGTTGCAGTTCAAGTCAATAAATTTTTTCTCTGTTTGCCTTCTTGAAAACATAGAAACAGAGTGAGTCAGAAGGGGTTTCCCTTCTGAGCTCTGCTCATGACATGCCCACCATGTGCATGTCCATCCTATCCTTGAACACCCTCACCGATGGGGCCTCAACAACCTCTCGTGGAAGCCCATTCCACACCCTTGGGGTCCTGACTGGCAGGAAGTGCTTCCTGACATCTAAATAGAACTTTGGTTCCCTGAGCTTTGCTCCGTTGCAGGGGAGAACAGGTCTCTATCCATCTGCTTGTGACATTCCCTCACATACCTGTATGTCACCAATATAGCCCCTCTGAGTCTCCTCTTCTCCAGGCTGAAGAGACCCACTTCCCTCAGTCTCTCCTCATCCCCCATCCCCTGCAAACCGGCCACCAACCTTGTGGCCCTGCGCTGCACTGACTCTAACCTGGCTATATCCTTTCTGTAATGAGGGGCCCAAAACTGAGCACAATACTCCAGTTGTGGGCGTACCAGAGTTGTATACAGTGGTAATAATACCTCTTTCGATCTAGAAGCCACACTTCTGGCTATGCAACCAAGGGTGGCGTTCACCCTCTTGACCACCGCATCACACTGCTGACTCATGTTTAGCCTGCAGTCAACCAGTACCCGGAGGTCCCTTTCACAAGTGCTGCCCTCAAGCCACTTGTCCCCTAACCTGTACTTATGACACCTATTCCTATGCCCCAAGTGCAAGACCTTGCACTTATCCACATTGAACACCATCCTGTTGTCTCCTGCCCACTTCCACAGTCTGTCCCGATCCTTTTGGATCTGGAGTACCTGCTCCTCAGTTGTGGCCACTGCCCCAGTTTTAGTGTTGTCTGCGAATTTGATCAGCAGACTGTTCACCCCTTCTTCCATGTCAATTATGAAAAGATTAAACAGAATCGGCCCCAGGAGACAAAACAAAACGGCAGGTGGAGTGTGGGGAACATTGGCTTTTTTAGTGGAAGCCCATACTGAGCATAATTCATAATTTTATTATATTTATTTGTGCTTCATAGAACTAATTCACTAGGCTGAATTTGTTCCTTAATTATGCTATTAGACATTAAGGATGCCACCTGATGCATATTCATACAGAAAAAAACCTACGTTCCCAGCACACTAGGCATGCATAGACGTGCATCTTCCTACGTTACACAAAATTTCCTGTAAAATGCATAGACAACCATCCCATTTCATTGTGGATTTGAACAGTGAGTGGCATGTCGGTTTACCCCAGAGGTTAAGAAAATGACCAATCCCTGTAAGGAAATTGTATAGTCTTTTCCAGGCATAAAGTGGTTAACATCTGCATCCCAAAGCTCATTGAAAAGCTTGGAGAGCTCATGATTCCAAGTCTGCCTAAAATCAAAGAGAAGATGCCATCAATTCTAAAAAACTATCCATGTGGGTTTTCCCTGGTGACTATGCTGCATCTCCCATGCTCCACCCACTTTCCCCTGAATGCTGATCAGTTCTCAGATTTTCCACATTTCCCCCATTCTAAAAGTTAAAATGCCACTTCAAAGGTTTAGTTATGAGCAATAAGAACTTTGAACCAAAATATGCTGTTATTTGGTGTATCTTTTTGCCTATGTCCCCTACACCATTAGACTACTGCTCCTCACAGAATGGAACGAAGAGACTGCCCTGTAGTAAAGTCACAGTATCAGGGTGGTTAAAAATTGATGATTTTTTAAAAAATGGATTTTTTAAATTTAAATTGGTTTTTTTAACTAAAATGCTTTTCGAGGAGGAAAAAATTATCTAGATATAGTTTTCTACTTAAAAGACATTATACGGCTGCCCTTGAAGACGGTCTGGATACTTCAAATGGTTCAGAAAAGAGCTGCCAGGATATTAACGGGAATCGGCAGGTGTTCACATATAACACAATGCCATGCTCTTCCAGAGGGTTCTGTAAGGTTATTGGGCAATTTTTCTATCTAGAAGATATCCTCACATATGCTTGGTTTTACAGTTCACAAAACTGGATTTGTTTCTGCAGAGGTCACATGCCTCTTCTTCACAGCAAAAATGTTATAAAACATAAAGAGTTGAGAGAAAGACCTTACTCCTATTGTTCCTTTGCAAATTCATGTACACAGAACCAACCCCTGACTTCTTTCATGCTAAGTTTCAAAAAATTCAATGAATAGAAGTTTGTTGGGAGTGGAAGAGATCTGCACAAGAAGCTAAGTATGGGGAGGGAGGGGCAAGCAATAAACATGAAAGTGACACCTTTTGAGCAGAATACTCCACAAGTCTTTGGCTCTTTAGTGTATAGCCTGAGTGCTATCATTTCATTCTTTTCCTGGAGGAGAAAACCTAAATTGGCAGCATGTAAAGGAGACCCAGTTTTGGAATATTTTAAGGAAGTTCCTTTACCAGTGGGTAGTCATGTAGAAAATCATGATTTAACTCTAGTCTTGCTGACTAATGATTTAAATCATGATTTAGATTGATTTTATTTAAATCAAATCCACCCTGCACAGTGTGCCACAGACTATCTGGCAGCCTGGCCTCATTGGGCCCTGCTTCCCTAGCCTGACCCTAACTGACCCTGGCTTGTTCCTGGCCCCAGGCCATTGACCCCAGAGCAGTGGCACATGGACAATGATCCACCAAGCATGTTCAGGGACTCCTTTCAAGATGAGATAGAATCAGCCTTTTCAAATGTGCACAATGTGTTGATATAACTCAACATCAATGGAGCATTTCCAAATACTGATTATGTCTCCTTTGAGAGAAAAAAAAACCCACTGCTGCCACTTTCTTCTTGAAGGTTTCTAGTAAGGCTTTCTAAGCCAGACACTTCGTGTCTGTCACATCCACCCTCTTCTCTGGCTTAATTGCAAACTACACTCTGCCACATGAGTATGCAAACATGCCTGTCCCTACAAAAGCCTACTGAATTATTTCCATGAGTCTGAAACAGAAAAGATTTGAGTCAGTGCCATGGCTGCAAAGGACAAAGCAAATGCTCCTTGGCAGGTTGATTACTCCTAGAAGAGCCTTCCCAAATATGGTGCCCTCCAAATAATTTGGACCACAGTTCCCAGAAGAACCTGCTAACATGGCTTAATAGGGACGGATCATGCAAGGCACCAGGTGCATGAAGACAGGGCTAGCTGGGAAAGCCAGGACTGAATCTTGGACCCTTGCTATGTAAGGCAACCGTTTTACCACTGAATGATGGTCCCTCCAGAGGTGTGACTTTTTTTCCTGGTGTAAGGCCTCATCCAACAATCAGACCTAGGACATGCTTCACCCAAAGCAAGAATCATGTTATTAGGCTAATCACAATATTGGGAATGTACCACCAACTCATTAAATTTGGAATATTCATTGAACATATCCCTGTACAGAATCTTTGCTGAAAAAAGTAGAAAAGCCTTCTTCAACCTGGTACCCTTCACATGTCTTGGACTACAACTCCAATAGTAGCTTGCTATAGATTATGAGAGTTGCAATCAAATACATCTCAAAGGTTATAGAAGGTAGGGCTGCAGTAACAGCTTTACAAATACAGCACAACCTCTTCACTAGCTTTATCCTGAGCAAGACTTAGGATGAATAGAAGACATATGAGAAGTTCTTTCAGGAAACTGTGAGATTGTCCTTATACGCAAGAAGCTGCATGTGTTTTTAAGAGCACATTCTATTTGAAATATCTTTAAACCTCCATGCTTGTATTTTATGGTCAGCCTATGAAGGTCAGAAGAAGCATGAAGGGAGAGGGAGGCATGGGAACTCTCCTCTTGCCTTAAAAAACACTTAGCTGACTGACTTTACCTCTCCAAATGCAGCACCTTGAAGTGAGAAGAAATGAGGTTGAAGCACTGTGAAGTGACATGCTATCTCAGCGGTGCTTGTTTCCTCTCCTCCTTGACCTGGGAACAACCCCAAAAGCTCATCTCCAAAGTCAGTCTGACAACCTTGTAGATGCAGCTGGCATGATTCTTTCTGCATTGGTCACAAAGTGAAAAGAGGGGGATTCAAGTTGCAGTTATTTTCCAACCTTGTAGCTGGGGATCCAAGCAATGCATGGCTGCATAGAGAACACACAGATGTGAATGTTTTGTGAAAGTAGCTTTCCTTTTATTGTTATTGTTTTTTTACTGATACTCCTACAGTAGAACTCTTGCCCCCTGTCTAGACTAATAATAATATCTACTCTAAGGACTTATAGATGGTACCATCATGGCTTAATACTCTTTTTAACAAAGAACAAAACTTTCAAGGTCAAAATAATGTGAAAAGACAGGAATGGTCCTGGCCAGCTGCCTTCTCTAAAGGTATGCATTCCTTAAATGTGTCGTCAGTTCTATTCATTTACAGTATTGCACATTTGCCTTGATCCAATAACTGGAAGAAGCAAGATACATTATATGTTGAGCTCTCACACAGAAACAAGAAGACATTGTGCAAGTCTGGCAGAAACCCAGTTTTGGGGGAGCAAGTTGCAAAACTCAGAAATAAAAATTGATAGAAAAATGTGCTTGAGATGCCTAGTAATTAATAATTTTGTATATATGTATACAAAAGGTGAGGTGCCTTAAGAATAATTAAGCGTGGCACGAGATGTGAAAATGGGCTTTTAAATATCTAGTGTGAAAAGAAAAACATTTTGCATGTCAACATTTTACATGAAGACCTACAACAATGGTCCCTTGCTTTTAAAATGTCTAGGCTGTCATGCATGAGCAGGAGAAAGCATTCGAACTGTCTTCAGCACACCAACTTCTTCCACTTTTATTCAGCAACCTATGAAGCAACCCTTTGACTGGCCCCTGCTAAGTGTGCCTTCCTGTTTGAGACTGATGGGGCTTTTAGAGTCTAAACAACCCAGCAGCTAACCCATAATTTATTGCAAACAGCCTGGAGGTCTGGGTTCAGATGCCACATTTGGCAGGAACCAATTGTGCAATACTGAGTTGATCATGGGTTGTGACAGAAGAGATTGGCATGACAAGTTTCATTACATGGAAACAGCCCCTATAGTAAGCTTGTGAAAAGAATGCTATGGAAGGAAATGCAAGTGCACTGGAAGATTTGCTTCATGATTGTATCCAAGTTATGCAAAATAAAAAGTGTTTTAATTGAACCAAACATGGTCCCAATTCCTCACACTAGGTTCACACAACACAACACACACTCAGGGTTAATCATGGGTTAAGTGTACTTTGTCACAGGTTGTTGTATTGTGTGAACCCAGCCATGCTAACAAATCATAATGTGTTAACCCATGAAGAGAACCTGTAATTTGTTGTGTACAGGCTGGAACACAAATGGAATTTTAGGCCTTTTCTCAATCTAAACACGTCTAGGATTGCACCTTAATTTATTCTTCCTGCCTGCTACCCCAGTTGTCCTTCTTGTTCCACATACATTGATACAAGCACAAGGGTCAGTCATGATAGTAACTTGTTTTTAAGTGAATGCTTCTTGTTCCAAAATATGCAGAGCATTGCAAATGCAATAGGTCAGAAAACCTTGGACTGGATTCAGACATAACTACGCTTGGAACAGGCCCAATGAAATCAATGGGACATAACTAAGTGACGACTAACATGTAGCATTGCATTCAGTGGGTCTATAACAAAGTTTGCCAATCAAGCACACATGCAAAAGAGATGATGAGCAATTGTTTATCTTAGAAACATAGAAACATAGAAAACACAGCGAGCCAGAAGGGGCCTCCCGGGCCATCTAGTCTGACCTCCGGCACCAGCCGCTTTTATCCAGATAATTTTTATTGACCAACCAAAGCCTGGAACTGTAATTATACCTCCTTTTTTAAAAAGTAAGTTTTATTATAATTATTTTCTACAAACTAAAAAAAAAGAAACTAAAACATCAATCATCAAAGACATCAGACCTACTGGGTCAGCCCCCCGTTTTTTTTTTATAGCAATCCGTAGACATATTCAAATCTAAGCATTTTCATATTTTCTAGCCAATAATAAAAAGAGTTCCTAGTTTGATAGAAGTATATATCCTCTTTCTCCTCCAGAGACAAAGTCAGCCTATCCATTTCAGCACAGTCCAGATTCTTTTTTAAAATCAGTTCATCAGTGGGTGGTTCTTCACTCCTCCAATGTTGGGCAAATACAATCCTTGTTGCAGTAATTACATATAGAATCAAATACGTTGCTTGTTTATCAACATCATCAGACACAATGCCTAATAAAAAGACTTCTGGTTTAAATATTAAAGATGTTTGTAACATTTTCTCAAGCCATTTATGTATTTTAGCACAATATTTTTTTTGCCTTATCACAAGTCCACCACATGGGATAAAAAGTATCAGGTTCATGTTTGCATTTCCAACATCCATTTGACATATTTGGAAACATTTTTGCTAGTCTGT